GGCTGTGTCAGTTTACATTCTCACCAACAATGTACGAGAGTTCTAGTTGCTCCACGTCCTCACCCACACTTAGTGTTGTCCATGATATTAGCCATTTTAGTGGATGTGTAGTGGTATCTCATTGTGTTAACTTGCATTGCCCTGGTGACTAACACTGTCGAACATCTTCTCATGTGCTTATTGGTCATTTTCATATCTTTTGTGAAATCTCTTTACTCATTTATTGGGTGCTTGTCTTCTTATTATTGAGTTATAACAGTTCTTTATACATTCTGAATAAGTCCTTTGTCAAACAAATGTGAATATTTTCTGGGACCAATTTTGTTTCTTCAGCAGCTGGTCCTCTGCCTGGCACATTATAGCAGGCGGCCAGGTCACACCGACTATTAAAATTGTCATTGAGCAGAAAGTAACATTTGTAGAGGCCAAGACTACCAATTCCAACTCCTTTGTAGAGAGTCTCTGACTCCACACAGCCCCTTTCTCTCCATCGAAATTCAAGGGGAGATGGAAAAAAGAGTCTAGGAAGCAAGAGGTATTTGATGCCATGCACTGTACACTTTTTTGTTAGTATTGATCCCGTAGTCAGAAGCAGCAGCCTGGTTAGGATGTCAGATTTACTAAGCTGGATTGCACCATGCATGCATCTGTGTGTTTATGCTTATTTACAGATTCGTTCTGAGACAATTACCACTTATGCTCTCTGTGGCTTTGCCAATTTCGGTTCCCTAGGAATAGTGATCGGCGGACTCAGTAAGTGAAAAGAATATTCTTCAACAACAGATAGGATGTAAACATGCTTCAAATCTCCATGTTGCTCTGTAACATTATTCATGTCAGGAAAAGAAGGCCCTGCAAGAGCTGTAAATCCTTTGAGGTCTATTTGTTATCCCTGTTCTGCAATATAGTTTTCCTGTGTAGACCCAAGCTAACATCAGGAAGAATTTGCCCAAATGTACTGGTGCTTCTCCAGCCAGGGGTGACACATAGGTTCCACTTTGCATGCCAGTTCCAATAGATTTATAATGGCCACCTGGAGAAGGATTCTGAGGTCCAGTGGAAGTGGGAAAATGCTGTGATTAGTTGGTGATGTCTGCCATGGGCACAGAAGTGGATGGTGACAGATGAGTGGCAGATGTTTGGGATCCTCCTTTGTGATGCATTCACCTTGACCAGCCCGCAACATGCTGTGTGAGCCCTTTGGATGAAACTTAGGACCTGTTTCTTCTGTAGAGAGTGGAAACCTCTGGGCCTTGCGTTGTGGACAAACTTCTTTTCCTCCCACACCAGAGAACTTCTCTGGATGTGGAACTCGTCACTAAGCTCTTGAATCTTGAATTTCCCAGTTAAAAAAAAAAAAAAGGAAAAGTCAGCTGACCTGAGACTCTAGCCCCAGTACAATTCTCAGAGGCTGGGAATTCGAAATTCTAATCAATAAGCCTCCACATTAACCTCTCATACTTGCCTCCATGTTTCCCAGCATCCATGGCTCCTTCCAGGAAGCGTGACATTGCGTCAGGGGCAGTGAGAGCTCTGATTGCAGGGACCATTGCCTGCTTCATGACAGCCTGCATCGCAGGTACTGCTTCCGGTGTTTGTGTCCTGTCTCCCTGTGCCCGCAGCTTTCAGGGGGGCAGTGCCTCCAACCCGCATGGGCACAGAAGTGGATGGTAACAGAGAGCTGAGAGGTAGTGTGCTGTTAAGCATATTGTGGAGTGAAATGTGTGGAGCGTGGTGAAGCAAAGAACAGAAGGAGAGTTCAGTGACTTAGTTAATTAATAAAATCAGTGGCGCTCTGTTCCACTTCTAGGCATACTCTCCAGCACTCCTGTAGACACCAACTGCCATCACATTTTAGAGAATGCCTTCAGCTCCAGCTCACCTAAAAACACAACTGATGTAGTGTCTTGTTGTCAGAGTCTATTGAACAGGTATTGTATTCTTGATTATAACTTCTTTGTATCTATTATTAATTAAAAATTAGACCTAAAGACCCCTTCCACTTATTTTTCTAACTTCATAACTATTACTTTATTTAAACAAGAACTTGTGTGGCAATTCTAACCACCTTTCGTTTTGACTGTTCTCAGCTAGGACTAGGAACCATAACTATCTAGTGTCTCTCAAGCATTTCATATGCCCCCACTGTGTGCATTAGCTCACTTACACCTTGCAAACACTGTGTAAGTTAGGCACTATTAATTTTTTAAGCTTTATATAAAATCATGGCTTGGGGATCTATATCAAAGCAAAATGAGTGCAAGCACTATCAAGATAGAAAGACACAAGGAAATTCGGGTCTTTCTGCCCACAGAGCCCATGGCCTTACCTAGTACTCTAGTACCAGTTACTAGGTGCTGCCTCTCTTTCAAGGGGATTAAGCAATGCAGGCTGTCCTGACAACGTGGTGATGGGCTATGGTACATGAGGGGCCGCCAGTGACCCATGCTATCCACTGCCACCCTGTACAGTTTCTATTTGCAAAATCACTATCCCCACCCCTTCTGCCCTTCTTAATGTGCAAGTGTTTTATAAGAATTAATTCTATCCTTTCTTTGTTTATTCTGGAGGAAATAGGGGGAGTCTTTGAGGCCAAACAGGATTTGAGAGTCAAAACTAATTCTTTAGTGCCTCTGTCCTTAATGCACCCTAACCTGAATGTGAGGGGGGAAATCAGCCCCTTGTCCTATGCTATTTTTCATGTGTCTTCTTCTGCTTGTCTACTGTTTCCATCTTCTAAGGCTCAGCTAACTGTTTCATTCCACTTTCTACCAGCACTGTTGCCAAGGGTCCCGGGGAGGTCATTCCAGGAGGAAACCACAGCCTGTATTCTTTGAAGAACTGCTGCGACTTGTTGAATTTATCAACACTGAACTGCAGTTGGATCCCTAGTTCATTTTGAGTTCAGCCACTTCTCCAACAGAACTCTAAGTACAGATGCTGAACTTTCTGCTTTGGGGAGAAAAAACAAAGCTGTTCTCCACAGATTGATACTTCCACCATGGAATCAGCTTTAACTAGAAAGAAGAAAATCAGGAATGAACCCTTCAGATCTAAAGCATCTTCCTCCTCTCCTCACCCTCTTCCCCACTGAGAACTACTATGGTGTCCCAAAGTGAGGTGTTGTCTCCAGTCCCAAAAATGTTTTCTGACCTTAGAATTTTAGGACATGTAACCAGAATACAGGTATAAATGATGGCTCACAACAACTGGGCTACACCTCAGCCATAACCTCTTACTGTGAGTCTCTAGAGTGACTCGTTTTGAAAACGTCTCAGGTGAGGTCTCTCTGCATTCACCCTAGCTGACCTGAAATAGCCTAAACTTGAATCTCACATGGAGGATGACCAGTCACATATCACCCACTCATTCCCTGCTCTGAGGAAGTCCCGCAGAAATCAGGAGTCCTTGGGGAGAGCACCTAGACCATTCCAAAGCTAGGTTTTAAATCCCTTGTGCTTAGAGTTATACCAGTCAGCTTAAGCTGAAGTATGCTGCAGTAACAAATAATTCAAAAACCTTGGTGGCTTACAAGTTTATTTTTTCCTCACATTATATGTTTATTGATGGTCAATTTTGGCTATACTCCATGTTGTCTTCATTTCCAGGACCCAGGCTAAAAGAGAAGCCCCTGTGTGGGGCATATTGTTCTTATGGGAGAGGGAAAAGAATGGTGGGGACCACATGATGGCTCTTAAAACTTCTGCCAGGAAGTGACACTCTTCACTTCTGCTTCATTCCATTATCCAAAGCTAGTCATGTGACAAGCGTGAGTCAATGACCATAGATGATTTATCCTGTCATAGAGAGGGATAGTGAATATTTTGAAGAAATAATATGACATTCCACATGGGTACATAATATCCATGTCTCCCTTCAAGAATTCCACCTGTTATAGGGCATAACTAACTGTAAGCCTATTCATGTGCAAATTTGGTTATGTTCCTGGTGATAAGACTGGAAAATGGTGCAACTCTTTAGTCAAAAAGCCATGTAAGGACCATTTGAAGAAGAAAAATAAGTCCTGATTGAGATCTGAAAACTTTCCATTAACACTTCCAGAAGAGCATCAGCATCAAACTTGCTTAACGGATATCAAACAAGAACCTTCCAAAAACACTGGTGGGGTACTGTTTAGTGATATGCTCATCATCAATGCCCTTAAAAGCACAAAGACCACATTTTGTGAGAAATACACAAATACTAATGACTGGGTTAAAAGGTGATTCACACAAAATAATGTGAAAAAGGTTTTCGAATACCTTATGTAATTTATTTGTATGTTTTCCTTTTTGTTCATGCACAAGAGTAATTTTTTGAATCCATGTGTAAATATTTGATTTTTTTTTTCTTGGTGGTGGTGGTGGTGAAGGAGGGAGCTAAATGCCCAAAGGACTCTTAATCTCTGAAGTACAATATACTAGGATATTTCTAATTATTGATCACTTGTATCAAATTTTTCTTGGACTTCAATGTCTTTCCATATTTAGACTTTATTTTAGGAAAATATATTGACATGTCTTTTCCCCCTGTTCTCAGTGTTCTGTTGTCAGCCTTCATAAAATCCTATGGCTTAGTGTGTCAAGGACGCCAATTATTCATATATTGGTTCTCCTCTTTCTGCTATTGCTATTATTTTTCTCTTTTTAACTCTTTGCATTTTTCTATTCTGTTTTATTCCCAAGCATCTCTTTGCTGTTTCTAGTGTGCCTCTCTGGCCAACTAATTTTCAAACTCTGTCTGTTGCCATTACTATTCCTTGGATGATTGTAGCTCTTTTCTGAGCTCTTTTTTTTTTTTTTTATTTCAAGGAAAACTTAATTACTGACCTTTTTTATTGTTTTCTTCTTTTTCAAAAAGAAATATCCATTTGTAATAAAAAATGATGATATTATACACACATATCTTTCTCTCCATTCTGTTCACCTCAGCTCTCTTTCCAGTACCACACCTCTGAGATTATTAATTAACCAGCGTTTGCAACTTTCTCCAAACTTTTATATATATAAGAGTATGGGGGATTTGTTGTTTCTACACAAATAGAATGAGCCTCTTTATATGTCACCTTCAACTTCTCTTCACGTGGCAATACACTTTGGAAATTCCTACAAGTCATTATATATAGTTCCAGCTCTCCTTTCCTTCCCCCCTCGTTGTGTGCATGTACAATTCTACATAAATGAGATACTATACATGCTGGGGATGGGACGGAGTTAGACATTTTATTTTCGTTCTACTTGCTTCCCTCCTCCTCTCTCCTGGCCCTGGCCCTGGCCCACCACACATAGGTAACCCAGGTTAAATAACTTGATTTTTAACATCACTGTACTTTTTTCTGTACCTTTTTTTCATGTTCAGGTCATATTTTACAAACATATCCGTCTATTGAGGATTGAGATGGTAGTTTTACAATACAGACCTTCGTCGACTTACAATGGGGTTACATCCTGATAAACCCATTGTAAGTTGAAAATATCGTTAAGTCAAAAATGTATTTAATACACCTAATCTACCAAACATTGTAACAGCCTTCATGTAATAGCATTAAACGTGCTCAGAACACTTACATTAGCCTTCAGTTAAAAAAAATCATCTAATACAAAGCCTATTTTATAATAAAGTGTTGAATATCTCATGTAATTTGTTGAATACTGTACTGAAAGTGAAAAACAGAATGGTTTCTGGGTACAACCTTGAAATGTGGTCCTCTGGCAACTGATAACCAACCCCTTTACCATGAGAAACCAGGATTAGGATAAAACTGATGTCTTACAAGCCATGTCAACACATAGAATCAGGCCTACATTGTCCATGCACTGGGCATGCTTCTGGTAATATTCATAAAATAAGATTGTAGAACCCTAAGTCATTCAGAAATGCTTCAACTCCTCTCACCCCGAGCCATGTAGAGCCACCAAACCCATGGGTAAAAGCAGAGCTGGGGCAGTATTCCCTGGTCTTATCTAAAGCCCTCCAAGTGCAGAATGTCTGCCTCATTCCTTAATTGTTTGCCCATACGACTATCTGACCACTAGCCTACTACTTCCTATGTATCTCCAGTACCTAGAATCTGGCATCCAGTAGACATTCAGTATATGTTTATTCAATGAATGAATGAGTGAATATTGCAAAATGGCCAAACTTCACATAAGCAGGAACAGTTAAATTGGTTCACTGTTAAAAACTTTTAAAAAATCTCATCTAAAATGCATACTCATAGTAAAAATTGCAAATGATATGCACATGTATAATTGAGAAATTGGAAATTTCCTCCCACTTCAATTTCATTCCCCATAGTTGGTCACAGTTAATACTTTGGTGTCACTATTATTTTTTCTCTACATATTATAAACAATACAATAAGTTACAACCATCAAACTGGAGTGGATGAGTCTTCTTTCAAGCCCAGTGCCTCAACCACTTTCACTTTCCATTTCTTGGCAACGTCAGGCACATGATTTTGCTTGTCTTACATTAACTGTGTCATACAAGGATCAGCAAACACAGTTCAGGAGACTGGCCTTCCTGATAATCTACAAAGCCAGCCTACAGTTTAGTAGTATTGTCTATGTTGAAGCTAAATGGAATCATCAAAACCATCCCAATACCCAACATAAATAGGTATATTTTAAATAACCAGATTCTTTCTGATTATATGAGCAATTGTTCTTTTTGGAACATTTGGAAAAGCTCTTAATAGGAAATAGAAAACAACAAGCTGGTTGCTACTTCTGGCAGGTATGGAAGTATAATTCAGCAGCTAAGATTCCAGCCCTGGAGCTGAACTTTTAGTGTTCAAATCCTTGCCCCAAACACTGGCTCCATTACCTTAGATATTTATGTAACCTCTCTGTGCCTTGGTTTCCCCATCCGTAAAATGCAAATAAACATCTCCCCTCCCACATTTTTGTGAGAATTAAATGTTACATCACATAGAGCACTTAGAAGAATGCCTCACAGAGAAAAGCTACAAAATACACTCTTCATTGAGGTATAGTTTAGCACAGTAAATGCAGATTTTAAGTATACAATTTGATGAGTTGTGAAAAATGTATACACCCATGTGACTATCACCCCAATCAAGATGGAGCACATTGCCACAATTTTAGAAAGTTCCCTGGTGCCCCTTCCCTGTCACTCTCACTCCCCTATCCTCCCAGGGAAGCCTGATTGATTTTCTTTCTCCTAGAGATTAGCTCAGATATATGGTTCAGATAGAACTTCATATAAAGGGAATCACATATGCTCTTTTGTCTCTCACTTTTCTCATTCAGCACAATGTATTTAAGTTTTGTCCAGTAGGTCATTCTGTTTTTATTGCTGAGTATTATCCCGTTGTATGAATAAACCACCATTTATGAATCCATTCTACTCTCAATGGACATTTAGATTGTTTTCAGTTTTGGCAAGATTTTTGTTTTTGAAAGAAACTTCTATTTGCCACACATTGTTTATGTGTTTCAGAATATTTTGAGCTTTGGAAATATAAATTGGAATGTGAGGAAGGCGTGGTCAACTCTCATGGGAGGTTGCTACTTATCACCCTTTCTCTCCCTCATCATCTTGCCGAGTCTCTTTACTTATACGTTGTTCTTCACAGGGATTTTCAAGATTATTGACTTCAGGCCACAGACTGGAAGACTAGTGATGACTGAGCCTCAGAAAGGAGTAACAACTAAGCTGGAGCACCATGAGGTCACTCTTGGTTGAATAGCACATTGATTAGCCTGCTCCCACACACTGCATAATGGCACTATCACTGTACTGCGTTTTGAGAAAAATCACTTGGCTTTTCTAAGTCTCCAATAAAAGTAAGAGTTATATTAGCATTTGACCTCATAGGGCTATAGACAGGAATGTGAATAAAAAAAATACAAGAAATGTGAAAAAAACACTTTGTAGTTTGAAAGTAGTGTAGGAAAGCCTGACGCATGCAAGGTGAGCTCTGATCATAACAGACTTGGCTCCGGCAGCTTGCAAGGTATAGGAACATCCATCAGCGGAAAACTTGGTCACTCAGGAGCTATAATAAACTTAATCCCATTCACAGGAAAGGTTGGCCAGTTCTTAAAAGCACTTTTGCGTAGCAAAGACCCTAATGCTCATTAGAATTCACCCATCAAAATTCAACCTGCCCTTTCTGAGAGGGACATCTCAAACAGTTGAGAATTATTTGCTCTCTTTGACCACCCACTCATCAATGTCTGGCCATGGAAAACAGCTTATCCAAAAAGTGAGGGTTTCTGCACTTACTTAAACCAAACAGAACCAAACAGATGGAAACAATATGTTTTGGGGATTCAGGAAAGTTCCTCCTGCTGCAGTCTGACTTATTTTCGTAGTAATAGAATCCGAAGTCCTCAAACAAGCACAAAGTGCTCACAGGAGGCTGCAGCTGGACACTTAGGAAAGTTCTTTCTTAAAAGCTACTGAAGTATCCAGGAAGAATTCAATCAACATTCCACCTAAATTGGCAGGGGGTGGTCTCCCAGGTGACCTGAAGATAAAGTGAATTTCTTAAATGCTTTCCCCTCCCTCTTACCAGTAATGACGTTGAGGGGAATTTGAGGTTACAGGTTTTCACAAGTGCCTCTGCTTGGGTGGAGAGCACAGACACTGTCCAGACATCAACAGCGAGGAACAAGGCAGAGATCCAGAGAGTTGCCCCAGCAACTGGCCAGAGCCCGTGTGGGCCTGGGAGGACAAGGCGGCGATTCAGGTTCTGGAGGTGGCCCCTACATTGGCCCGCTGCAACTGTATCGGGACAGACGCTCAGAGGCATTTTTGTCTCTACCCCTTCTCCTAACAGCTTTTATAAGATGTTTTATTGCAAAGTAATCAATCATATTTGTTGTAGAAAGATATGCACAATCTTAAGAAAATAAAAACTTTACCCATATCCCATCACAAAAATATCACGAGTGCTAACAATTTATGGTAGCCATTCAACGTGTGTGTGCATGTGTGTGTGTATGATACTTTTAAAATGAGATAACTATTGTGATTTACTTTGAGGCCAGCTTTCCCCCCTTAACATATCATGAATACGTTTGCATGTTGTTAAATGTTCTTCTACATCATCATTTTGAAGTGGCTGCAGAGCGTTCCGTTGTGTGACTGTCCCATAATTCAACCTGTCTCCCACGGCTGGCTGTTATGGATGTTTCCCATTTTTCATGATTATTAACACATCTGCAATAAACATTCTTGCAGCCAAATCTTTACACAAATTCATGATTAGTTCTTTGTAAAATATACAAAAATGCTAGAGACACATAGAGATTTATCTCCCAATGGAATGTTTCCTATCTTATGCTAAGCCTCAGGGCAAAGTCAAATGGTCAATCTTTGAATGGACATTTCTCCAGTACAAAACCAGTCTACCTATAATCAATATCCTAGATTCTGCTGGCCATCAAGAAGTAGGTAAAACATGACAGCAGGCCTTGGCTGTGTGGGATTTCCTATAACCACTGACATCTACTTTGTAAAAACCCTTGGTAAATGACATACAGGATTATCTTCATCTAATTAAAGATGAATTTTCTAGTTCCAGGGTAGCAACTAAAAATGATTTTTCTATTTCTTTAGTGGGCTTTTATACTACCAACGCAGATTCATTGGATATGAATAAAACAAAAGTATGTTTGAATGCTAACTCTCGACCATCCTTAGACCCGGTGCAGGAGAAAAGAAGTCCTAGTCCACAGAGAATCAAAAAGGATGGACCCCACCAGTACAGTTGGATACAGGGCATGCTGACAGCAGGGGAGTGGGGAGCAGTGCATAGGTCCCTGTGGAACTGGGTCTGTTCACCCAATCAAAGGAGGGCCAGCAAATTCACCAGCAAAAGCAGGATCCAGAACTATGTATCCTCTCTCCTCAGGTTGCCCAGGAAAGCAGCCATGGGTTCTTCTTTGTGGGGTGAGGCGGTCAACCCCCTGTACTCCTGGTTCACAAATGGCAGTGTGGGAGATCAAGATTTGGCCACCCTGAAATATATCTCTTTACCTTGATTGTTTTCTCTGAGGGAAATTTGACCTCCCCCACTAACTGCCTAAAGAATTTGACATAGTAACTCCCTCCTGGAACAGATCTTCTATCTGATGGCTGTAATATAATGTAAAATAGATGTTATAATAGGAAAGGCACCAACAAGCCCATCTTATTGGAAGTTCTGTCTCTGGCCACATTCTCTGGATGGCCCTTCAAGGAGTTGCCAGATAAACATTTACATTTATAAGGGAAATCTCCATTTGTAAAGGTATCTGCCTGTCGGGGAAGAGGTGGAATCTCCCTCTGCCCTTTTCCTTAAGGTTCTTATGGCTGGCCAAATAATTAACAAGACAGGTTAGCAGGAGAAAATAATACCAAGTTTAATAACATGTATACATGGGAGAAAGCAGGGACACTGCGTTTTCTCAACACAATAGCAGAAATTCTCGTCTTAAATACCATGTTCAGCCAATGACAAAGGAGGATGTTGGGGGCGAGGGGAGTCAGTTACAGGAGATTACCACTAAAGCACAGTAAACAAGCGTAAGGTTATTATGCAGATTTAAGGCCTCACCTTCCACATTGATAAGCCTCTAGAAATGAGGCCATCCCCCCCTCTTCCCAAAACAGAGAGGGAGATACCTTTACAAATGGAGATTTCCCTTATAAATGTAAATGTTTGTCTGGCAACTCCTTGCAGGGCCATCCAGAGAATGTGGCCAGAGAGACAGAACTTCCGATAAGATGGGCTTGTTGATGCCTTTCCTATTGTAACATTTATCCTACATTATCTTTACAGCCATCATGATAGAAGATCTGTTCCAGGAAGGAGCCACCATGTCAAATTCTTTAGGCAGTTAGTGGGGGAGGTCAAATGTCCCTCAGAGAAAACAATCAAAGTAAAGAGATATATTTCAGGGTGGCCAAATCTTGATCTCCCACAGTCCCTCTCTGTATTGGTAAGAGGGGGGATGACCTCATTTCTAGAAATTTATCAATGTGGAAGGTGAGGCCTTAAATCTGCATAATAACCTTACGCTTGTTTACTGTGCTTTAGTGGTAATCTCTTGTAACTGACTCCCCCCACCCCCAACATCTTCCTTTGTCATTGGCTGAACATGGTATTTAAGATGAGAATTTCTGCTATTGTGTTGAGAAACGCAGTCTCCCTGGTTTCTCCCATGTATACATGTTATTAAACTTGGTATTATTTTCTCCTGCTAACCTGTCTTGTTAATTATTTGGCCAGCCACAAGAACCTTAAGGGAAGAGGCAGAGGGGGATTCTCCCTCTTCCCCCAACAGCAGCATACTATATACTGTTCTGTACCTAAGCTCTTTTCACTTAATAATATGTCACTTCAAACATGTGTGAGTATACTTGAAGGAGAAATTTCTAGAAATGGAATTGTTGAAACTCAGGGCATGTACATTTGTAATTTCAGAAGATATTGACAAATTGTCCTCCATGGAGATTTGACTGATTGATATTTTCACTAGCCAAACACAGCGCACCATTTTATTAAACTTCTGGATTTTTGCAAATGCAAAGGAAGTGGCATCTCAGTGTTGCTGTAATTTACATTTCTCTTGTTTAATGAGGTTGAGGATCTTCTTGTATGTTTCAGAGCCATGTGCATTTCTTCTTCTAGGAATAGTCTATTCCTATCCTTCATTCATTTCTCATTTGGGTAAGTTGTCTTTTTCTCAGACATTTGTAGGTGCCACTTATCTACTGGGGAGCATAACACTTTGTCTGTGATAGGAATTGCACATATTTTCCCCATATTGTCATTTGTATTTTTACTTTTTTGTGGTGCTTTTTTGCCAGGCAGAAGTTGTCCCAACATCACTTATTGAAGACTAGTAGCTTCTATTTTCCCCATTTATTTGAGATGCCACTTTCGTCTCATAATAAAGCCTCGTGTATTGGGGTATATGTGGACTTTCTGTTCTGTTCCATTATCTGTCTATCTACTCCAGTGAGGATCAATTGTTTGATCTTGAGGGGATCAGAGTGTGCTACCCCAAAAGATGCCACTGTGGTATAAGGATTGTTTTGAGCTGAAAGAAATTAGCTCTTTGCCCTCCCCCTTTCTCTCTAAAAGCAAGGCATAAAATTCCTCTTGTAAAGGTATCTTCCTCTCCTGTACCAGGAAGAGGGGGGCAATCCTTAATCACTAGAGATGACTCATCAATGGAGAAGGCACCAACTTGAGTCTGTATAACAAACCTTATAAATAATTCTCTTCCTATAGTTTCCCCCGCATGTTTACCTTCCACAATTTACTGCCCCTGGGAGCCTGGAAGCACAACCGACTGCCAATGTACTTCCCACAATTACTCTCCTTCCTTTGTCTAGCTACTCACAATTTATCAACCTTTGTTAAAAAGGCATATAAGCCCCAGGGTCTAATCACTTCTTTGAGTTTTCATTTGTTTCTTGTGAAGCCTCCATATACATGAGAAATAAACCTTTTCTCCTGTTAATCTGTCTTTTATCAGTTTAATTCGTGGGGGGTCCCAGTCACAAACTAAGAGGGTAGAGAAAAAGATGCTTTCCCTCCCCAGGATCTCTAAACTGGAGATTATAATATCTACCCCAGAGAATTAGCCTTAAGAATTAAGTGAATGTGGAATGTTTAGCCCATAAATTTCAGCAATTATGATGAAGAGAAGGAAAATATTGCCTACTTCACTCTTGTGCAAAGAAATGCAGAAATGCAGAGGGTTCGCAGATAATGATGATTCAAGGATTAGCCTTTCCGTTATACTCTGAACTAAAGACTCCTTTACATGCAGAAAGTGATATTATCAATGGTTTTGATAATAGGTTTGAGATGATTTTAGAGAATTTTTAACTAACCCAGTTTGAAAGGGAATCTCTAGGGCTGTTATTCCCCTGAAACTGGCCTGCTGAGGCAAAATGTCAGATAAGACCAGATTTGAATTCTAGTTTAGCCACTCATCTCTGAGCCTCCAAAGAGAGATAACTATACCTCCTTCTCATTCTGACAAGTAATGAGATAGTAACATCAGAACAGTGGGTAGCACTGCACTTGTCATATAATATACATTCTAAATGGTAGCTATTTTTGTTATCATCATCATCATGTTCTTTGTTGTAATCATTAAAGATGATGGCTTTGGGTGGCTGAGGACAAATAAAAGGAGGGTAATAAACACCAGAAATGGCAGGAAAGAAAGAGGGAAATAATAATAAGGATATTAAAACCAAAGCTATGTAAAGAAAATAAGATGTATTGGTGAAGGGATAGAGGGATAGATAGATGGACAGTATGTGATAAGGTAGGCAAAATAAAATGTTAATAGTGGAATCTAAGTAGTATATTTCTTTCAAGTTTTCTGTATGTTTGAAAAAAATTTTTATAGTAAAATGTTGGGAAAAATTCAAGGCTACCACCCTTCTCTCCTTTTAATCCTAATTTTACCGTAGCCCCCCATAAACACTCAAAGGCAAAGGAGGATTGACTTTCCTGTGTCTTGATATTTCACATAGAGTGAAGAACTCGTAACTCACCTCCTGGCCCAAATTTCAAGCTGTCTTTATGAAAGTGATTCACTCTCCTCCCCTAAGATCCATACGTCTTATTTCCTGCTGGCCCAGCTGACAGCTCCACTTTACACACGGTCACTACCAATACCACTCATGACCCAGAATCCCCCCCTCACCCTGTTCTCTCAGGTCCCCAACTCCCAGAGTCCAAACAGCTTCACACCCAAAAAACTGCAGACAGAAAGAAGTTGTGGCCTCGGATGGAAACGCTGTTTCCGGGGCATTAGAACACCAAAGTCAACTGCAGCTTTCTGCTCTTGCTGTGACACAGGCGACCCTGTAGAGTCGCCAGCCTTGAAACTGACAGACAGGGACCAGTGTGCACTGGTTGCCATGGTGAGGAGGGACCTAAGGATAGCTTCTGCATGCCCTTTGGTGCCTGGCACGTCAGGTGCCTTGAGCTACTAGAGAGAGCTAAAAGGCCCTCATCAAATCATCAACATTTAGGCAGGAATTCAATTGTGTGCTATTGGTCTGAGGACCCTTCAGACTGTTCTGGACCCTTCAGAAACCTAGAAAATTAAGTATTTAAAGCAAACTGTATTTTTTTAATGACATGCTCATGTCTTTTTCAAAAGAAAGTTTAACTCCATTTTGAAACGTTTATCTTTGGGCAATCACCATCCACTAGTCCAGTATTTGTCGAAATGCTGTTTCTCAAGCTATGGAATCAGAATCTCTGGGGGTGGGGCCCGGGTAACTGCATTTAACAATGCCCCTAAGGTTCTAGGCAAACTGAAGTCTGAAAAATACTGCTCTAGTGTAGCTAGATAACTATAACCTCTCATGACAAAACAACAATTCTAGCCAGTAGCTCCCAAACTTCTCACTATTCTGGATCTTTTTTGTCACATCCTTTCATCCCCATGGCACTGCAAGAGTCACGTTCTTTGAGAAATATTTGTCCCCCAAGCAAATTGCATTTATTGAATGATAATGATTTCCCCCTTTTTATCAAAAATTTATATAATTCCCAACCTGACTGGCAGAGAGAAGCAGTGTTAAGATATTACCTTGATAAAAAATTCACCTCAAATCAAGGAAAGTTTATCTTCCTTTACAGCCTCCACTCAGGTGAGTGTATACTGCTCATCAGGCTTTCAGAGATAAATAGCCCAAGCTCACCAGGACCACCTCTGAGCATCCCAAGGTGGAAAACTGTTGAAGAACTCCATGGCATCAAAGAGCCCGTTCTGAGATTCTGACTCATGTCAAACAGAAACAATAACAAGATCCATCCTCCTTCTAAGGAATATAAACTTATTTATTCCTTTATATACTTATAATCAACCCTCCTCCAGTATGGATAGAATTTAAAAAATTCACAAAGATCCATAAAATCATCTAAATTACAAATAGATGTACCATAGCCTGTTACTTGTTTCCTAATGGCCCATCTCCCCTTCTTCTATGGTATTGACTCCTCATTTTTAGCTAAAATACATAACTACCCACATTTCTGAGCCATCCTTATAGCTAGGTATAGCCATGTGACTACACTCTGGTCAATAGAAGTTGTGTGTACAACTTCTAGGAAGTAATTTTAAAAGGGAGGCTTGGTTGTGTCCCTCTTGTCTCCTATTCTCCTTCCTGCTGACTGGATGCAGACATGATGGTGAGAGCTGGAGCAGCCATCTTGTACCATGAGCTGGAAGCTGTGTGTTGAGGATGGCAGAGCAACACATTAGAAGTCTTGGTTCCTGATAATCATGGAGCTGTCATTCCAAACTTGGACCACCCCAGAATTTTACTGGAGAGAAAATGAAGCCCCTATCTTTTTTAAGCCACTGGTATTAACGGTTTTCCACTCCTCATAGCCAAACCTAATCCATGCTACTTATATAAATGAGAAAAAAAAAGATAGAAATATACAGAGAGTCAGAAATAAACTTACTACGAAAATATATACCATAAAGACTTATGTATTTTCTAAAATAAGTCACAAATTTGGCTTCAAGCTTTCTAGTGGTTAGTAAAAATTTTAAGGACACAATTCTCAGTGTCATAAGGCTTATTTTTTTAATTGCCCAGGAGAAACACAACTGTTCCTGATGCTAAGAACAAATTAATTTATCCTGAGTCTTCATAAAGAGGACATCCATCACGTAATATAATTAACAACAACTTCCTTATAGTAGAAACAACGTGTTTCATGAGGTTCTTCAATGTAGGCCAGGAGAATCAGTGTCGATAATTTGAAATTGCCCCGTCTACTTGTTTAATGCACAGTCATGCACCACATAACAATGTTTAGGTCAACAACCAACCTCAAGTACAATGATAGTCCCCTAAGATTATAATAGAACTGAAAAATTCCTATCGCCTAGTGATATTATAGCCATCATAACATCATACGGCAGTGCGTTACTCACGTGGTTGTGGTGATGCTGGTGTAAGCAAACTTACTGCACTGCCAGTCATATAAAAATATAGCACATACAATTACAGTCATGCGCCGCACAACAACATTTCAGCCAATGATGGGCCACATATACAATGGTGGTCTCATAATATTAGTACCATATGGCCGAAGTGTGTGGTAGGCTATACCATCTGGGTTTGTGTAAGTACACATTATGATGTTTGCACAACGACAAAATTACCTAATGACACATTTCTCAGAACGTATCCCTGTTGTTAAGTGGTGCATAGCTGTAGTACACTAGATTGAATGCTTCTTTTCCCATCCTCAGAAACACTAGCTAGCTGGGCCTTGGAGAGGTAATGGGCTCAAGAATAAGAAGGTAGTTTAAAAGGCCAAAATGTTATACACTCAACCCATATCCATGTTGTCTACCACCAGCACCAACACGACCCCTGAGAAATGGGCAGAACTCATACAAAAATACCCTTTGACATATCCCATTCAAACTTTCTTTTTATGACTTGTTTTCTCCTTCAGTACATCCTTGAAGTTATTTAAATTTAAATTTTATAGGTTATTTCAAACCTATTAAAAATTGCGTGTGTATGTGTGTGTACTGGGGGAGGAATTCAACGTGTGATTTTTCCACTTCTAGTCCCTACAAATCTCCGACTACACAATACAGGCAGACAATGAATAAAATTCAGCTATGTAAGGCCCTCATCTACCCATAAAACACAGGGACCAAAAATGTCCCATAAAACACAGGGACCAAAAATGTAAATAGGTAACTTATGGGTCATGTGTCCCAACTGTGAATGCCAAGTGGTGAACGTCAGCACTTTACATCTCATGGAGGAAACCAAAGTGGTTTCCAGCACACCATTCCTTTGCAGGAGCAGCAAGGCAGGCACCCCTGGAGCAACAGGGATATGTTTTCAGACTCTCTAGTGAGATGCTCACCGAGGGAACCTCGTGCCTGCACCTTTGACTCCACGGCATTTCAGCAGGATCTTGCCCTCCAAAGCCTTGCTAGTCAACCCCGGGTCTCTTTCTGGATTTACCCTGTAGAAGGAACGATTTGTGAGAGCAGTGCATGAGGAATGAGTGGTGAACATGGACTACCCAAACCAGATGATTACATGCTTTGCATCCAACGTGGTCCCTTTATCCATTATAGCTAGGTCTTGTTAAAGTATACCTCCCTAAAGTCCAATATTGGCTTTGAGAAAAGAAGGACACGTTGTTTTTTGTTTGGTGAGTTTTTACCCTGAGCATCACTAATTTTCATGATGGAAATACTGCACTTACACTGTAAAATAGAGAGATGAGTACCTACCTGCAGAATACCCACTCATTCCAGGTGACCCAAGTCTCACCGACACAGGACACAAAATGAAGTCCTCTTTATCCCGTAGACACGATGACTGAGCATCTTTTTTTTCCCTTTAATTTAAATTAACTATCCCATTTACCTAACTACAGACCAAAGTCTCAAAACTTGATCACTCTGGTCTAGTTGTTGTCCCCCAATGGTCCAAAGC